TGCTTCAGAACTGAGAGTTGGACATTGTGGACTTGACACCTGATATTATTTTTGTTAACATTATACATTGTATTCAAACATTTGCAAGCTGCATCAATATTTTTATGCAATATTAACAGATTCCAGTTTAAGAAATCGCTTACATAAAACTGAAAAAATGTGGCTGTTACAGCAATAACTACCTGATAATTTAAAATTGCCAAATATAATATTTATTTTGTTTTTAAAACATTCTTTTAATTATTTTCTAATACACTGTTACCCATATATGAGAAGAACAGCTGGTCAAAAAAGAAGATAAAATATTGTTAAAAAACAGGAATAAGATACATCCCAAATATTCCTTTTCTTTTCTTTACATTTCTTTTGAAGAACATTACAATGAAGTCCCAATTGTACTGCTATCTGAAGATTAGGTGAATAAACTTAAGATGTCAACGATGTAGAATGGCCAGAAGCATTTTAGGCTAAAAGCATTTTAATGAGTGTTAAATGTCCTGAAACAATTAGATTGGAGAATTCCTACAGTACTATTAAGTGCCAATAGAGGGCACTTGTGACCATATTGTGGAATGAAGTTGTCTACCTAGGCAGGTTCCAGAAAAATGGTCCCCAAATTCTTAAGCTTGACTCTTCATTGGCACTACTCATTAAAAAAAAAAAAAAAGCTCAAATGATTTAGAGAAACACTCTAAATGGGAAGTCATTTGCAAAATTTAAACTGTTACTTTAAAACTTTCAAAAAATGCCATACTGTATTGATTTCTCTCACTTGTTACCAGCTGTATTGGACAACTTCCAGCACTTCCAGCTAGCACAGCTTTTAGAACATTGCTGGGGATGCTTAGAGTTTTAATCAAATTCAGGCAGCAGGTTTGGGGTTGCTGCTACATGAATAGTTGAGAAGGAAGTTGAGAAGCTACATAAAGGAAAACAAAATTTTTTTTTGCTGTCTAATACTCTAATAACCTGACAGTTTCTTGCACAGGCAGAAAATTAACTCTGAGTTTGATTTATCTCATGTGGTGGAAATTTGCACTTTCTACATCTGCAAATACATTTACTTCACAGCACAGATACTGAGATTTACTCTAACAATGTGGACAAGGGCTGCGTAAGATGCTCAAGATCCCAAAGTACTCTGAAATTGTACAGCCAAAATTAAAATACTGGTGGAAATGAGTGTGATATCCTCTGAAAGACAAAAATAGATGTTTTGCCATGCAGAGGATATCCAGCAACCACCCAACAAAAATAGACCTATCCATGGACCATATGGATGCATTGGGAGCTAGATAAATAGAGGCATGTTTAGGTCTAATTACCAAAAAAGTATAGCAGAAAGGTTAAAGAGACAAAAGTGAGGTTCACAAGGGAAGCAAAATGCAACAAGGACAGGCTTTTTATATTGTGTGTGTGTGTGTATAAGGGCCACCTTATCCCTCCATCTACCTTCCTCATTCTTGTCAAGCAGAGTCATTTTTTCTAGTCCATAATCCACTCACATCACATATCCAAAGTGTGTGAGGTTCTGCCTGGTCATCACCCAAAGGAAGCAGTCAATATTTATTTGGTTCAGAATGTATTGATGGATTGCTTCTTGTGCAGTCACAGTACTCAGTAACCATCGTCAGATCCATACTTTGAAGGCATTCTCTTTTTCTCCTTCTTCCTCAGTGTTTATCTTCTTTCTCAATGTCCAGCTTTCACCTTATTACTAGAAAGACAATTATGTCAGCTATTCTGATCTTTGCTGTCATTAAAAATGTTCTTTTTTTCCCAGATCTGGCCTAACATTGTTTTTGCTTTCCTCCCAGTAATTGACATCTTCTTTACATCTCCAGCCCACTATCTATCTTTATTCTTGAATTTCAGGAAAAAGAGCTATATATCACCTTCACTTTCTTGCCATCAACAGTGAGTTCAGTAAGCATTCTGGTTGGCATTACCTTTGTTTTCTTAATGTTGAAAATAAACTCAGATTTTTCAGTTTCCAGTTTTATTTTCATAATAAGTCAAGCCATGTGACTTATTATGTGACTTTCTGCTATACAAGTCAAGACAGTGGCACCTTACTAATTGCCAAATCAATATGGGTGCTCAAGGTGAAACTCCTTCTGAATAAGGGACTACATATTCTTAAATACCCCCTCTCAGGGGCTTCCTCTTGAGTTCACCTGGGCTACTGAGTCACCTGCTGTAACAACATTTGGTTTCGGGAAGCCAATGGTTGGAATATCTGCTTATCAGCTCGTGACATTACTTACACAGCTAATGAGTGAGAGAGGCTTAAGTTGATCTTTCTATACCTGGTTAAAGTAGTGTTCCCCCCTCCCCCCTTATTCAAGCAGGAATGCATGCATGCTAGACACGTCATAAATGGATTCTATTTTCCATATGAAGTATTTTTAGGATAGCTCACCTCAATGTGATTAAAAAAAGAGTACAACAAACAATAAAACAGTAACAAAATAAAACACATAAAACAGCATCATCAAAATAATTTCATGGGAGGAGGATGAAAAGAAACCAAGTAGGTGCTGAGTGAGCTTTTCTAGAGAGACCACTCCATACTTGGAGTGCCACAATGGGGAGGTCT